CCCCAAAACCCCAAAACCCCAAAACCCCAGTACTCATAAGATAATTGAGATGATACAATTCCAACAATGTAGCCTTATCTTAACTAAAACCATAATCTTGAGATCTGTTCTCCTTCCTTGCTTACTATTCCTTCACTATAGAGATTTCTTATAATTTTCCTAAAATTTCTATGCTATCTTCTAGAGTGGAAAATCCATGAGGCTCTTCCTTCATTACTTAAACACCTAACTTAAGCTCATATTTCCTAACACACTCTCAAGCATCTCCATATCCTATTCTCTTCCATCTTCTCTCTTTCCGACAAGATCTCTCTACTATCTCTTCTAACCCCCATACTAAATTCCACCATTGAGTTGTAATATAACCACCATAGACCCCACCACCGCACTCTACCACTGACATGGCAAAATGAGCTACCTCTTGCTGATTTGAAGGATCTCCCAACGCGCGTGTTTCGAATTTTTAGTTTTGAAAATTATTGATGAAACTTATGGATTTTCACAGATTCCCAAGAGTATATGCCAGGCACTTTTTTAACACATTCTTGAGAATTTAGGGAGCTTCCTTTCGAGTTTTCACAAGATTCTTCGAGTTCATAAAATCGCCAATGCTACCTCTCAGGTTCGATTCCGAAGTTAAGGTTGGGTTAATTTTATAGAGAACATTTATAGGTTTTAATAATTTTCATGCCAAATTTTATAATGGGGTTTTATATAATTTGAGGAGAATTGATGTATAGAAGAAGAGCTATCAAGCCTAGGTGCAGCTGTGATTCAACGAGCTTTTGTTTGTTCTCCAAAAGGAATGTAGTGTTATTTCTATATCAGTCTAGGTGAGAAGAAAGAGAGCTTGTTTGTTTATGGTTTTTATTACTCACCCACATTCCGACTAAAAGAATATATTCTTTAAAAGGAATTGGCTGGTAATGTTTGGCTTATTCTAATCACGTTGAGGGCAATAAATCAATGCTAAATAGAAATATATTAGATTATAATTATAAAATGGCGGATGAAGAAACTGAATTTGGAGCAATAAAAATTGTTTTTATTGTAATTATGGCAATTCCAACTGCATTTTTATTATTGAATACTTTATATAGAACTTATCTAGAACTCAAAGAGTATTATTTCGATCTTTTTAGGCTAAGCCAATATCTATTTCTTCTGGTTTATTTGACAGCATGGATGCTATTTTATTGCACAATAGGATTTAATAGGCAAGTTGAAATCTATGAGGCTGCTGTTTGGATTGCTAGTGGGACAAATATTGGCTACATTGTGATAAACTTGATGCTTTGGATATTAATAATAGTCCACTTATCAAATTTAGTCAAGCTAGAGGAAGGAGAACAATTTATTAAGAATCGCAAAAAGGTCATCAAGATTGAAATGTTAAGCATTTTCCTTGCATTGTTGGTCTTCTTTGTTGTACTAGTAATCAATGGATATTCTGCTCTAGGCTCAATAGACTATTATAAGCATCTAAATGAGCATACAGACGATGAAAATAATTTCGATAAAATTGATTATGTTTCTTGATCCTTGCTCATTGCCCTCTATGTGGTCTTCATCTTCTCTGAGCTATTCTTGATCATAAAACTAATGAAATTAGTTCATAAGTATTGTGCTTATGATAAAGAATACAGCAAGTTCTTCCCTTGGCTTGCTGGAAGTAATATTGTCTACTATTGATTCCAGCTGGTTACATTCATTGTGATGATGGTAACGATTGTAATAATTCTTTAGGAAAGTAAAACAACATATTGTGATATTTCTAGAATTGATTTAAAGAAGAACAAGCCTAATATGCAATTATGGTTAAAGATGATGTTATTTGTCTTCAACAACAATCTTCCACTAGTCTATGCTTATATGAACATCAAAAATGTGAGTTTCAAGATCTATGTAGCCAACATCTTGCCTGGCATTGGCAAGCCTTACCTTTGTCCATCAAAGATATCGCTATTCATTGTGCCATCTTGAAGAAATGATCCTGATGGCGATGAGGTAAGTTTTAAAGCATAAATATTTAGGACCGACAAGAAGAGAGCGAAAAGAACCAAACCAGAGTGAATAATTCTCATAGCTACTTGCTGGACGAAGACATGAAGCTTTTTGGAGAAGATAAAATTGGCACCATTGATAATATAGTTGAAGAGCATGCACTCAGTGCTAGAGGAAGACATAGTAATAATTATTTTCAGTTGGAATAAGATTAGTTGGGGTTTTGGGGTTTTGGGGTTTTGGGG